GTGAGAATCTAGGTATGCAAAAACCCAGAGGGCCTGATTACAATCAACAAAATGAGGAAAATAGTGGGTATGCAAAAACCCAGGCCCCATGGCAGTCCCTTCTGTTAGGGTTTTGGGTTTAAGTTTTAGGGCCTTTTAGGGTTTAGTGAAACAACCATGGAGCTCTCAATGAAGGGAGGGCTGGAGGATTAAAGATTTGAAGTTCTTCCTACATCCTCTTGGTGAGAACCTTTTGAATAAAGAAACTTTGCAAATTTCCAAGTTGTCATGCAGAAGAGCTTGAGGTGCAACAGCTTGCATGTAGCCATGAGAGCGCCAGAGCTTGAAAGCCTCTACAATAGCAGCAACAACAACATTGGAATAGACTGCTACAATAAAGTAGTAACAATAATACTTATGATAGTAACAGTACAGATCGTAATTTTTAAGCCAGTAATAATCTTTGCAGCCCCTGGCGCACGACTTCCAGACTCCTTCTCGTCAGCTCAGTATTCACTAGGTGAATTGGGGGGAGGGGCGGACGACCAGGGTAGTTTTGACTTGCAGCTTCATGTAGGTTCAGGACAAGCATAGCCTACAGATGATTGTGGTGAATGAATCTCAGGTTGAAGTGGAGGTAACCTCACCTAGGGCTCCACCAAGGTGCTTGTAGGGTCGGGTGGCAGTTCCAGAGCATGGAAGTTTGGAATTTTTGAAACGAGGATAGCCTTATGAAAGTTTGGGATCTTTGTTCGAAATCAATCGAAAAGGGACTTTCTGTTCATCCCTAGATGAGCCATTGTCTAAACTCCTTAAAGGGGTTAGACAGGGGATGGAAAAGGGGTGGATTATTGGGGTTAATAGGGGGATACTAGGAGTTTAGACTATGGCTCAATATGACATGTAACATTCTTACACGCTGACGCCCCATAATTCATGTCCCAAAACATCTTCGCGCAATGCCACAAAGCAGGGTTAGTGGCCCCCAAGAGATGGTGATCCGAGGAATATGGCGAGCCTGGTCCAGGTGGAGTTGGGGCCTTGCTGTGTTCCTGTAACAAGGGAAGTCTAAGTTTAGGGTTTAGGGTTTGGGGTTTAGGGTTTAGGGTTTAGGGTTTTAGGAGGGACCCCTAATAGGGACCCTTGTAGCTTATGGGGGTTAATATGGGGAGTACCTAGGGATATAGGGGTTATATAATGACTATATAAGGGTTATATATGTCAATGGGATTAAGGGTCCCTATTAGGGGTCCCTCCTAAAGCCCCTAGACAGGAGCAGGACGGGAGCTTGGGGGCTTGGGGGGAGAACTAATCAT